CCTGAGAATTGCTAGGTCTTTGCTGTTACAGTCTGAATTTCAACCATCTTACAGAAGTAAGATGTGAACAAGTCTTGTTTCAGGAAAAACCACCATTCTTGCTTCTAATAAACAATCACATTTCCCCAATCAATCTGATTAGGATCTCCAAGGTTTTGGCAATCTTATAGTTTTTACAATAACTGCAAACACTGGTTTGTCCTTGACTTTCACTCTTCATTCTTCTTAGGTCAACATTAGACAATTTATAAATGGCTGTAAACAATCAATGAATGAGGAAGTTTCAGTTCAATATTTCATATTAGGATTTGTAACAGGTCAGTGGAAATCTGTATGTCTCACCAGAAAAGGGGGAATAATAGTACTTAATGCTTGTAAGTATTACAAGGATCAGCTACGGGCAGTGTGGTATACTGACTAGAACAGGTATCAACATCATGTAATGTCAACAATATTATTTTACTAAAATCTATGCCAAAATTTCCCAATGTTAGCACCATCTACTACAATCAAAGCATAACATGAAGTAAAATAAATCAGATAACAAGTTCAAACATCATATGATATTTATTCATATTACCCAATATGTAAATAAACAGCAAAATAAAAGATGGATAATAGAAAACAGGGAGATAGACTTTTTTCAAATGGGAAGGGGATCAAGAGAGAGAGGGAAGGAAGATAAAGGTGAGAAAGGGTACAAAAAGAGAATAGAGATGGGTTATGTGCATATCCCAACTCCTCACAAGGAATGGAAGCATTATGTAAGAATACATGCCCTAGTCAATAATAAAAAATAGAAAAAACTAGTGTGTTATTTTCAAATAGATTTTTTAGAAAAGTTTTCTATCAGAAGCAAAATTGAGTAAAACATATGGAGAACAGAAATATGTTTTGATGTCCTCAGACTTGCAAGGCCTCCCCAAATTTTAATGCTCTCCACCTCAGGGTGCATTTCTTAAACTGGTGATCCTATATATTATTTCATTTTTTTTCTCATCCCCGTTTTTAAAAAATGCCAGTCTAGCAATCAACTTATTAACTGAAATCTTTCACGAAAAAGATTTTGAGAACAATGAGAATAAAAAGGGATATATTTGTGTTTAAAAAGTTGTAGCATTTCTGTAAATCCATAATTTTTGATAGGCATAGCTTGGGTCTGCTGTTTCATAATTGAGATTTTTTAAAATTTAATAAAGCTATGGTACATATCCTGTATATTACTCAATTCATGTTGTAGTAGCCCTAGTACACATTTATATTTTTGTAATTGAACATATGAATAATCATATTAATATTAATAAGATTAAAAATAGCCTCAAATACATAGGGTAACCTTTGCTGTCAAGTATAATTGTTTCAACATTTACAATTTTTTGTTTTTAAAGCCTTTTGGATTTTGGAATTGTATGTCAGGAGTTTTAACTTGTGTTCTAGTTAAAAGAAAAAAAAAACAGTTTTATTTTGGATATCTCCAGGAATCAAGACCAAGTGACAATTTAGCCTAATTAACAAGAGTAATTTTGTCTTAATATAGGAAAGAATGTTCATAGTGATGTCCCCAAAAGTTGAACTTCATCCCCTAGAAAAATATATTCAGAGACCCAGGTTAGAGACGAATTATGTAGGAGTTCCTTACTTCACTCAAGATGATATATGTTTCCCATTGGGTCCCTCCTCCAATTTCCTCAACATGCAAAAATCAAAACAAAATAACCAAAACTTGCCTTAAGTTACACAAACGAGTGCTTTGATTGAACACATTTGCAACATCTTTGATAAATACAAAAGTTAAAGTAAAACACCATGCATTAGCCAGACCCAAGTCTCTCTCCGTGAGTCAGCGCCATTCTCAGAGAGAAGAGGCAGAGAGCCAGGCCTCAGTAGGAAGCGATCCCCACCTGGAAACCAGCACCGTGCACCAGCTGCTTCTGGAATGGGGCAGCCAGAGCCAAGTCTCTCTCTCTGTGTCACTGCAATTAGGGGACTGCGGGGTGGAAACGGGTGTTGGTACAGGCTTCACCAGCAAGAGATCCTCACCTGGAAACCGTATCATTTTCATTGTGCTGTTGGCTTGGGCTTTATTCTCTTTTATTTTGTTTCTGTTAAATCTGTGAGCAGCTATTTAAAAGATAGCAAGACATTATTATGGTAGCCATTTTGGATTTACTGTTGGCTTGTTTTGAAGTCTTTTATTGCATTCATTGTCCTGTTTTTATTGTTTCTATTCTATTTTGTTCTGTTCGATTTTTACTGTGGCTAGAGTTATCTGCAGCTATTTTGAAGACAATAAAGGCATTGTGATAACTATTGTTGATTTCATAAGGTTTTGAAGTCCTGTATCACTTTTACTGGTTTATTTTGATAGGTTTTATTCTGTTTTTATTTTCCTTGGTTTTATCTTCTTTAAAAAAACACCAAGCATTCAATAAATCAAGACTAGAGCGTAAGCAGGGGCCTTATCTGCCTCAGTCTTTGCTAATTTGGTAACCAGGTTGCAGATATGCCTGGCATGTGTCAGGCGCTCAATAAGTAGCTGGGAATAATTAAATGAAAGACCATGATCTGTCAATATAACTATATTTAAAATTTATAAGTAGACTTTAAGTTTAGAATTAAGAAATTCAGTGGGATGCATTAAAACATCAATGTGCTTTCTACCTGGGTTTCTCTTTTGAGAAAAGCTAATTATTGTAATTTCATTTTATGGTATAAGTAACTTTACATTGCTTTTGATTGACTGAAGGAATATCTACTATAGGTATTGGTTTATCTTGTTAAACTATAATAAAGAATACCTGATACTGTTATGATAATCATATGCATATATGGTTTTGATAGTTTTATGATAACATATATAACATATATATGCATATAATGATTGCTTCTACCTGCTTGAATAATTTTGATAGGGTACTTTGAAAATATGTTTTTCAGTAGCTGTTTGTTGACAAAAATCATGCTTTTGAATTAATTCAATCTCAAGTCAGTATTTTACTTGAGTTTGATATTCTGTGTTTGAATGTTGTGGTAATAATGGAACAAGACCAAAAATGAAGCTCACCCATCCCTTCCCTAACACATCTAAGGTTGCAGGGCTGAAACTATTATGTTGGCTTTCAGATCATCAATAAACCAAAGCATAATATTCAGGACATATTGAGATTCCAGGAAAGAAAATTTTGAGTAATATAAATAAAGACAAAATGTTTTGATAATAGGCTTTGAGACAACAGTGTGATTCGTTTTCCTATTAGATGACTGAGAAGCAGACTTCTCATCTTTCACTGCGCTCCTCCAAAGGCTGGCCTGCTGCAAAGAATTCCCTGGACCATATGTCAGCCAACATTCTCTGGTTTCTCCTTCACTAAAAATCCTGCTCAGAGCGAAGATCATTTATGGGAGATTCTGACATGGAAATGAGAGATATCCAAGCTCTTTGCTTAGTGTAACAACTCAGGTGTGTTGTTTATCTGCTGATCAGATTTAGGCATCTACAGAATTATTAATATACATATTCAAGACATTTTCTTTGCAGAATAAGGAGAAATCTAATTTTAACATGGTAAGTTTAACCGTAATGTTGTTTCATTTTTGTTATTATTTTTAAAAATTAAAAATTTAAATCACCCAAATTTTGTGACTTATAATGTCTTGGTCAGTGAGAGATTGTGAGAGTAAGACTCAAGCAGCAAGACAAACCCTGCACTCTTTCTGTTATTGGTAAAATAAGTAAATACCATGAAAAGATATGGACATTTACACCGTAACTATACTGCCAATTTAAAATAAATCTTTCTGCAGAATAAAATTATAGTAAAATTTTAAAGAAAGCAGTGACTTATATATAATTTCTCATGATTGTGTCATGTTAGTTTTCAAATAAATCACTTTATAAAAATTATGTTTTGCGTTACTAATATCTTCAATACATATTTGTCCCATGCACCCTATAGCCGTACAGTAGCACCCTGGCTTTGTCTCAATATTAGGAAGTCATCATGATTTTGTTTTTGATTTCCAGTTGTTTTTATTGTAGCAAAATACTCATGAAGTTACCATCTCAGCCATTTTAAGTGTGCGGCTCAGTGGTGTGTCAAGCACATTCACCATGTTGTGCAGCCACCACCCTAATCCATCTTTAGTACTTTTTCATCATCTATACTTACAAAGAACTCTCTTTCCTACTTTCCCCAGCTCCTGGCAACCACTTTTCTACTTTTTGTGTCTAAGAATTTCGCTAGTCTAAGCTCTTTATGGAAGTGGAATCCTACAGTATTTGTCTTTCTGGAGCTATTTTTTTTTTCACTTAGTATATTATCTTCAAATACATAGTAGCAAATCAGCACATTTTTAATTACCCTTTAGAATAAGTCCCTTCCTAGCATCTTAATTCTTTGCTAGTTTCTGTAAGTTCTAACGCTTGAGGCCGCATTTCTTCATTCAATTCAGTAAAACTTAGATTCACAAGTTATTTTAACAGTTTACAGTTTTGAAAACAATTAGAACCTAAATGTGTCATATAAAAAGTTTAAGAGTGTGATTTGTTTTGTTAGCTACTAAAATTTTGAAACTCGGTGTTTTAGAAACTCAGTCTTGTACTTGGTGAATCAATAAAATGATACAAGAATTAATCTTTTTCAATTTAAGACAAAGTAGACTTATTAACCCAAAGAATCTCGTTCCTGTATTTCAGTAGTTCTTTGGCATTATTTTGCAGGAAACTGTTTCTAATCATGTTTTAAATTCTAATTCTTTTTAGGGAGTATGAATTACTGAAGCAACTGATCAAGTGGATTTCCTAACACCAACAAGGAAACTGAAAAGACGAAATGACTTCAAGACCACAGGCTCCTGGCAACCACTTTTCTACAAGATGCTGCCAACAAGGTGATGGGAATCAGTCATGCTTGAGTAGTTGGAAAACAATGACAAACTTCTACCACAGAATTTTTTTCCTCGGTCAGCAAGACAGAGCCTAAGAAGGAAAGGAAGAATTATGCAAGGTGTTCAGAGCTAGCAAGAATGCAAGGAGGAATTATGCAAGGTTTTCAGTTTCAGTCAGGAGAGCCTTGATGGTAGTCACAACTACTCTCAGAAGTACTGATCTTCTTGAGTCTTTCCATAATCACAACATTTCCTCCTCGAAGGTAAGTCCTGTTTTAATAAATAATTACATATTATTTATGTAATTATTGGTCCACATTGAACAGATACATCATAGTGACTTTGTACAAGTTGATTTAATTATTTCTCATGTTTGCAGTTATAAAGGACAAAGGACAGACTGAACAATATCCTTAGAGTTAAGCCTGTGATATTGATAGGGTCAGAATGGACAGAAAGCACGGAAAATACACCGTGAATGCCGAATGTGCTGGAAATCAGATGGTGAGTATTGCCACTTCATTTTGATTCAGTTTGATTATAGTTGGTTTCTAGCATTTAAAAGCCATATAATCTATTTACCACTATGTGACCAAGGTCAGAGCCTTGCATTTCTCTCTAAAAGAAAGAGGGGCCCTGTATTAGATTTTCTATCTCAATTTTGATTTTTTGTATCATATTTGATATTGCCATCAAGTCTAAGAAAAAAAATCTTCAAGTAAAAATATGACTTTTATTTTATTTCTTTCTTTCAAAAATGATTTTACATCAAGAACTAAGCTTTCAGTCTACAGTCTTCACAAGTGCTTGCATATATCTAGGTGTTCTTGACTAAGTAATTTTTGGTATCAGCCTCAAAGGAGGATATGTTTTGAATGATAAAATTCAAATTTAAAATTTACCATTACCATTGAAAAAGAGTGTGTGAAGTAATATTTTGACTTTGCGATGTGTAACTCTGGCAATCAGTCTGCATTAATCACCTACTAAGTATACTGGAGAAAAAAGTCCTGTTTTAGTAGGACAAAGGAATCACATGAAGGACTCTTGGTTGAAAAAAAATACAACTGGTGGTGGTAGGGAGTTTGTCCTGGGTTATTAAAACTTCTGGGGTTGTTTTCTCTCTCACTTTTGTGTTGAACATTATATTTTGGTCTTCAAGATGTTGAAATAGATGGAAAAGAATCCCCTTTAGAGGATAGTCATCATCTTCATAATTTCTCCAGATAACCAACTTGAAGATGCTCTTCATGTATCATCTCAAGTTGTTTAGGTAGCTTATCTGAGTAGGTGCCTGTATATTTTACTTTGTTATGGATAGTCATAATTATAAAATATTTTTCCTTTTTAAAGAATGTATTATTTATCCATTTTTATTTTAAAGAGAAAACATGTTAGTAGGAGAATTATAGTAGTTCATACATTGCATATTGTTGTTTTTGTAGTTGTTGCCCAAAATACAGGCAAGATTTTTTGCCTAAAAAATATTAGCACAAACTTTTCTTTTCAATGAACTAAGAGAAACTAGCTATATAACTATCTTAACAATCTTGTGTATAATATACTTTTTCTTTTCTCCTTTCTCCCATCACAGTTTGCCTTTTCTTTTAGCTTCTTCCCAATGCATGGTATCTATTTTGTGTTTTGGCTTTTACTTACTCATTTAATTTTTCAAACTAGTATGACAATACGATGTTTACACATATCAGTCTGATTTATTTCATTTATGAGTACGGTCTTGAGTTACATCTATTTACCTATAAAAGTCTCCAGTGTATCCTTCTTTGTGGCTGACTAGTACCCCATTATTTAAAAACACCACATCTTTTTTATCCATTTCTCATTTGATAGGCATTTGGGTTGTTTTCAAGATTTAGCTGTTACAAATTGTGCTGCTTATAAACATGGATTTATGCATATATCTATGGTACGATGCTTATAATTTTTCTGGAAAGATATCCACAAGGGGACCTCTAGTCCTAGTTTTTTTTTAGGAATCTCTACACTGATTTTCACAGTGGTTGTACATACTATACTCCCACCAACAGTGGAAAAGTGTTTCTTTTTCCACACAGCCCTGCCAACAGTTATTGTTACTGATTGATTTTTTTTATGGCAGCCATTTTTCTAGAGTGAGATGTAATCTCAGTGTTGTTTTAATTTGCATGTCTCCAATGATCTGTGATGCTGAACATTTTTTCATGTATTTTTCATTTGTATTTCTTCACCCGAAACGTGTATATTCATCTCAGATGCCCATTTTTGGACTAGGTCTTTGAATTTGGGGGGCCTGATTTTTAAAAAAAATTCCTTGTATGTTCTAGATATAAGTCTTTGTCTGAGGTTCAACTGGCTATATTTTTTTCCCACTCTGTAGGTTGTCTTTTCACTCTGTTGGTGATTTCCTTTGTTGTGAAAAAGCTTTTTAATAAGGCGAGATTTCATTTGTTGATCCTTTGTAATATTTCCCTTCCAGGCTGGGTTTTGTTTTGTTCATGAAGTCTCCAGTAAATTCAGTGATTCTGTTTTAATCTTTAGATCTTTGAACCATTTCTTTTGACTTTAGTTAGTGATAGTCATGAGTTTAGTTTCAGTCTTTGGCTCGTGGAAAGTCAATTTTTCAGCACCATTTGTTAAAGAGGCTGTCCTTCTTCCAGTTGGCTTTGTATCTAATCATACTACTGACTCACGATATTAAATCTACAAGTTTTTGGTGGAGTTTTTGGGGTCTTCTATGTATAGTATTATGTCATCTGTAAATAATAGAGATTTAACTTTTTCCTTTCCTGTCTTTAATCCTTTCATTTTTTCTTTTGTCTAATTGCTGTGACTATTGTTTCCAGTATTATATTTAAAAAGAATGGTGATATTGGGTTATTTAGGCTTTTGATTTAGTTTTGGCAATTCCAGTGTGTCTAGGAATCTGCCCATTTGTTCTGCTTTCCATCTTATTAGAATATAGTTTATGTTTAAATGTGCAAGATAGATAACCATACTACTGTTTCGTTAGTTCATCAAACAGAATGGTTTGTACTGTCATTGTTTGATTATCCATTTTTTATGTTTTGATTTTGTAACTTGTATACTTATAAGATTAAAATGTAATTTATCAACTAGTGGTTTCTTACTGTTTTTTTAAAATTCTGTATTATTTCTGTTTTGTTTTTTTTCTCTAAATAAAAAAAGAAATTTATCTGAGGAAAAAAAGAGAATATAGTTTCTCAGAATAGATACTGATGACATCATGATTTTCTGTGGAATCCATTGTGATTTCCCACTTTTCATTCCCAATTGCTTGAATTTGTGTTTTTTTTTTCCTCTTTTTGATGAGGTTCGTTAATGGTTTATCAATTTTATTTATTCTTTCAAAGAATCAGCTTTTTGATTCATTGATTCTTTGTATAGTTTTAGTCTTCATTGCGTTAATTTATGCTCTTATCTTATAATTTCTTCCCTCATACAAGCTTTGAGTTTGATTTGTTCTTCTTTTTCTAGAAGTTTGAAGTTCAATAATAGGTTATTTTTTGTTCGTTCTGTTTTCTGGATGTATGAGTTCATAACTATAAACTTCCCTCATAGAACTGCTTGTATTGTGTCCTATAAGTTTTAGTATTTTGTATTGGAATTTTCATTTAATAATATATACTATTTAATTTTGTCCTTAATTTTCTCTGTGACTCATAGGTTGTTAGGGTGTTGTTTCATTTCCATGTGTTAATATAGTTTTTGTGATTTCCTTTGTTATTTCCAGTTTCATTGCACTGTGGTCAGATAGTATGCTTGGGAGGATTTCAGTTCCTCTGCATTTACTTAAACATGTTTTTTCATGTCTGTTAATTTTTATGTTGATGAGTGCACTGGTGTTTGGTGCATATATATTTATGCTTGTTTATTTCTTCTTCTTGGAGTTTCCCTTAATGAATATATAGTGACCTCTGTGTCTCTTTTGATCAGTTTTGGCTAAAAGTTTTCTTTGCAAACACAATAGCTATGCCTGCTTTTTTCTGGGTTCCTGTGGAATGAATAATTATTTTCCGTCCTTTGACTTTTAGTTTATGAATTTTTTTTGACACAGCATATTGTTGGATCCTACTTTTTGACTCATTCTGTGAGTCTGTGTCTTTTGATTGCTGGGTTGAGACCATTTACACTGATGATTATAGCAGGTATGTATTGGCTTTTCGTTTTTATGTTGTTTTCCCATTGTTTGTTCCCTGCCTTTCATCCTTGTTTAATTACTTGCCTGCTTGGTTCCATCTTTCTGTTTGTGTTCATGTGTTTGTGGTCTTCATTATCACTTTCTAATATGTATGTTTTTCAGAGCATTTCTTAGAACTGGTTTGGTGGTTATAAATTTTTCAGTTGTTCTTTGTCATGGAAGTTTCTTATTTCTCCATCAAGTTTGAAAGACAATTTTATGGGGTACATCAATCTGGGTTGAAGGTTGTTTTCTTTTAATGCTTGAATTACTGCTTTCCAAGCTCTCTTTGATTTGAAGGTTTGTTAGGAAGTCTGCTATGATTTTGACAGGCTTTCCTCTAAAGGTGATATTTTTTTTCTCTATCTGCTTTTAGTATTTTGTTCTCATTCTGATTTGCTAAAAAGTCTTGATTATTATACACCTTGGTGTAGATTTATTTTGGTCATGGCTATTTGGAGTTCTATATGTTTCATTTATTTGTATGTCAAATTCTTTATCCATGTTTGGGAAGTTTTCTGCCATTATTTCTGTGAAGAGATTTTTAATGGCTTTTGAGAAAGCCTCCAACTTTCTCTCTGATTCCAATCAGTCTTATGTCATTCTTATTTGCTTCATCCTGTAGCTGTTGGATTGATTTTCATGGTTTTGTGATTTTTTAATATCTTTCTTTACCTGGTTGCCATATTCCTGTCTTCTAGATTTAGTATTTTATCCTTGCCCTTAATTCAAGCTGCTGCCTATAATTTCAATGGAGTGTTTAATCTCCAGTATTTCTGTTTGCATCTATTTCATTGATTTCATTTCTTGTCTATGTTTGGCATTTGTGGTTTTTATTGTTTTCCTGAGCTCTTCTATTTGTTCATCTGTTTCTGCATTAATGTCTTTTATTTTGATAGTCATTTCTTTTTGCACTATAGAGGTTATTTTTTCTATGGCCTCTTCCATTTGCTTTTTTCACTTTTGCTGCTATCATTTCAGAAATTTCTACTTTCTTGCTTCTGATTTCCTCTATCTCTTTATTTTCTGGACTTGTCCTGGGTGGGCTGGATGTTTGGGATTAAATTTTGCTTCTTTGTCTTGTCATTTTCTGTATTATTTTGTTTTCTATGTTGATGCTTGCAGATTTCTTATCACTGGTGTTGATGCTTACAGATAGTCTTATCACTAGTGTTGAGGCTTTCTTAGGGGGTGTCTCTTCCTCTGGATGTCTTGTGATATAGGTGGTTCTTGGTCTATATGTCTATCCCAAGAACCTACCTTCCAGTATATTAAGACTGAGTAGTTGCTATCGATGTAACTAGGGTCCATTCCTTTGGTCCTGGACTATGGTGATGATTATGACCCCTTACAATCTCAGTGTTGTCATACAGGGGAGAAAAACTGGTTATAGTAAGTATGAAGTCCTGGTTTAAGTAGTTCAGTTGGCAATACCAGTAGACTCAAGAACAGCCTGGCTACTGACAAACTATAGTAACTATCAGCCTGATATCTATAATCTTAGGAGAAAGGTCTACAGAATTATAATATAATCCAACTTACACCAGGAACTTGTTTGCAATGATTTTCCACTTTATAGAGTGAGTTTACCCTTTTGTGGGGAGGAGTGATTCAAGAGGATAAGGGGTAGAAGAGAAAGATGAATGAAGTTAAATAAAGTAGGAGCAAGGTTGGAGGGCACAGGATGATCAGGTTTTGGGCAATGATAGGACACAAGAGGGAAGGATTGGATGAGAAGGCCTGGGAATATTGAAGTGAACCAGAAAGAGACAATATTTACTCACATGAAAGTATTATGAAGTCAAGCAAGATAGTTTACAAAAGAAGAGAAAAGAACGAGTAGAATAAAACAAAAGGAAAAGTTAGAGATCACCTGTTGTTTCATATTGCTCATGTTGCATGGAGTATTTCTACACCTCCAGTTATGTCTGTCTATCATGTGTATCTTACCAGGGTCCTGCTGTGTCGCTGGTGTTCCCACAGGTCCCTGGTCCCTGAATCCCACTAATGGAGAGAAAGAAGTGAAGATCTCAGACTCTTTTCAGTTGCACCTTCCTGGGACCATAATATTTACTTAGTAAAGAGTTATTAAATCAACATGATCAAAGACAGCAAATTGAAATGAAAATAAAATACTAATGCCATTAATAGCAATAATAATACTTAAAATTTACTCAGTGCATACTATGTGCCAGACATTATATTAAGCATTTTGCAATTGTTTACTCATTAAAAATCCCTATAAATCCACAAGTGGATAATCTTTTAGGAAGATTAAGAAGTATCAAGATTGTCTTTGATTCAAAACACAAAGGTAAATACCATTAACTTATGAAATGAAGAGCCCCAGAAAATTCTACATAGTATTTGGAATGTGACAAAATTTTTACTCAATATCCACAGACCTCCTCTTCTCTCCTTTTAATGTACCCTATTCTTTCCCTTCTTTTAATAGATCTCTTTCTCAAGGTTTTCCTCAATAAACTCATTTCATTTTTCATTCTTATTTATTAGTTCCTTTCAATAATATTTAAAGTCATGGTTTTCTTTGTTAATACAAATTATGTTTCCTTTTTGTTAGCAAATAAATTCCTTGTGAGCAGAGATTTTGCTATGAAATATTTTTGCAGTGCTGTATTCCCAAGATCAGCCCAATAAAGATACATCAGACACTGGACAAATGATCTGTCCCTATCATGAGTCCCTTGGGTAGACTATATACACTAATACAGTGTATTAGTATAATATATGCCGATAGTGCAATGAATCAAAAAATACAGTGGGTTTAATACTGGAAAGTCTGAACTTCAGTGCTTGCTATTGTGTCATGATGACCAATCATGTTAACTCTGCTTCAGAATCTCCTTTTTCAAAATGACCTGAATAAGTTGTACCTCTTAAACTGCAAGGACTTATTTACCTCCCCCATCTGATACGTACACTGCTGTGGGTAGAGAATACCTACAGTAACTTGCAACATGAAGATATTCATGTAGTATGATGAAGAGAGTGTGTTATATACTCCTTAGCTGGAATACTGGTAATTTAGAAAATTATTAAAATATGCTACTTAATAATCTGTTCAGATATTTGTTCTCAAAGTACAAAAACATTTATTTCTTTTAAAGGTCATGCTGCTACTTATTTTTTAACAAGTGTTTATTTAGTTTAGTTTTAGAAATTCAGCATCATGACTTACCATTCACTTATGCTTCATCTCTATAGCCTAACACGTGTCCACAGGACCAAGAGGCTCACAGTTCCACAGGCTGGTGTCCACCTTCCAATGAAATATCCAGTGATGTTTCCTCCAACTTATCTGGAATCTTGATGAGCCCAGGAATCCTTGCACAGTCAAGATGTCCACAGGCACAATTAACCAGTGCACAGGTATTATCTGGTAAAATATCATTTGCCCAGGTGGAGTTGTGCTGTATATAGCCATGCACTTGGTCTGTTCTTTCCTAGGAAATGTAATTATTCATATATGCCCATGTTAAGCATTTGTTGGGTTGTCAATGCAAATACAATTCATGGTAAGGCAATTTATAGAAGAATATTTGGTATTCTTTAGATTCAAACAGCTAATGTTCTAGTATGGAACTCAAATATTCACGGTAGACAGAGAACACATATGAGAGTCAAAGGAATAAATGTAAGGTGTCAATGCATGTTAGGGGACTAGGCAGGGGAGGAAACATGTTGGCTACATAGGATTCAGTTGTTATTTAGACTCTCTCATAGGGAACTATGCAATATGTGACGCTTCACGGATCCTACTGTACAGATCGCTGTATTTTTTAAACTGTTGTAGCTTCTGAACTTGTGTGTGGCACTCTGTTTAGCTCTCTGAGTTCTGATGCCTTGAATTAGAAGCTTAACGTTTTTCTTGAGCTACTCCAAACTTAGAAAATTATTAAAATATGCTACTTAATAATGTGTTCAGGCATTTGTTCTCAATGTTGTTAGACTGAGCTCTCCACACTTCTTGATGTCATGCTTGATTGACTGAATTAACTACCTCATAACTGCATCTCTAAGTTTTTCCCAATTATATAGAAATTTTACCTTGACTATAAACTATGAATTTGGCTTGGCAGTTTGGTTGTGTTCCTTAGACTCTGAAATTCCTGCCCTCTTCTTCAGAGAAAAAGGAAGGCTCATCAAAGGGAAAAGATGCTAAGAAGGTCAAGAGAGAAAGTCTTCCAAAGGACAAGTTGGATCCTTTGCTGCAAGGGAGGAAGAGGGAGAGTTCGTCTCCTGTCAATCAGGAGAAATGGAGAAGTAGAATCCAAGCCTGTTTAGGATTGTAAATTTGCAGGAAGTTTTCATTCAGTAGTTTCAAGTAGGCTAGTAAAGCAGGAAGTAAAGTCATTTGACAGGAATAGAATATTTTGAGCATAAGGACAGGTAGATGATGAAGCTATTAGGTTTGAAGAGAGAGAGCATGGTGGGGAAAGTATTTAAAAATTGATGCAATATCTTAATACATGGCATACAAAAGGATGGCGGAACATTGCAGAAAATTCACTTGAGACTGACAATCATACATTTCTATAGATTCTCACATGCCCAGGAACTGGCTTTTCCCCAACTGTGATGCTGCTCCAGAGAAGGTCTAGGAAAAAAACAAACAAACATGTCATCATTTATTAGACAACTACATGAAAAGAGGGAAGGACAAGAGATTTCAAGTATAAATAAAGTAATGGAACAAAAGTGGATAAGAATGGATGAGAATGACATATATATTGCTGAGCATAAGGTTCTGATCATAAGAAGGAAAGATTATTATGAAATCATAAAAAAAATCTGTAAGGACATTGTGGTAAGCAGACAGAATTCTTGAAGAAGTGGTGTTATAACTAGCAGAGCTAAAGGCAATTTTAAAAGTTAGATTTTTTTTTTCTTTTAGAGATAAGTAGCTCCTCCAAGCTTCCTACCGCTGAGCACATCATCAACACCCTCTCCTATCTCAGCCACAAAGCAGTGACAATAGGTAGTCAGTGAGGCCAGGAGGCTGGAGCCCACGTTTCTTTCCACAAAAAACGGAGAATGGCTGGAGGCAATAGTGCAGATCCTTGTGATCTCTCCGTGTTCCCCTCCCTTCTGTTCTTTACTCTGAAACCCCTTATCCTCCTGTATGCTGTGTTACAATACTTTGAGGCAAATAGGTCCTTCCTTTACCTAAGACTTAACTTTGAATAAATCATTTCTTAAAAAACAACAAATAAATGGCCTTCTTTGATTTGGTCAGCAGTGAGCAAACTAACCTGAGCACCTGAACCTGGGTGGCCTGGAAGTTGGCCATAGCCTTGAGGGATTTAAATTGGTTCCTGAGAGGTGTACAGCCCAATAGGTCTTTGGGAAATGGGACTCACTGCTCATCGCTAACTGAATCCGTGATCCAGACTCCAGAAGTTGTCCAGCAGCTGCCAGTGATAATTTTGCACCCACAAATTATCCTTCTTTTCCTGTTCATGAGATCAGCTACCTAAAAACGCTTTCATTGGTGAGAGGAAAACCATTTTTTTGGGAGCTGACAGGCTCTTCTTGGTTTCCTGCTGGAAAGTGCAGTTTACCTTTTGGACCTTTCCTTAGGCTGGACCATTTGGGGTAGCATCTTTATTGCTTTGGGCATATAGCATTATTAGTATAGCATTATTACAGGTCATTTTGGGACACTTACTGGTCAGAGATTTCACAGTGTCATTTAGGGTGAACACCTTCATTTCTTTTTGTGGTCATGTAACCTACTACAGTTTGTATTGGTACACTGGCAAATGTGAGCAGAAATTCAGAAGTAGACAACAATTTTGTTTTGTTGGTTTGGAAAACTTACTTGTATTGGTTTGCTTTGTTTTTATTTTTACATAGAATGAACGGTAGAATTTCAGTACCATCAGAAGCTGGACAGTAAGTGGACAGGTTGCAGCCAGGATTCTGTGGTAGGTGACTGCCCAGGCTGTCTTCACTGCATTGATTCCTCCACAGTTTGGTCAGGGAGTGTCTCCTTTTGAGACAGGACAATTAGAGGTTTAAATTCTTGTTTCAGAGACACAGAATGACTGGGCCTCTTGCATTTGGGGGTTTTCTGCTACTTAGGGTTTAAAGCTACTCTGAAGTTTTTCTTTTCTTTTTTTTGGTACTAGTGATCAAATTTATGACCTTATGCTTGCCAGGCAGGTGCTTACGCCACTGAGCTAAATCTTGGCTCCACTCTGAAGTTTTCTTTGTGAGCCAGTGATGAGTTCACAGTTCTTGGACCATTTGACAGGAAACTTTGTGTTGAGAGACTAAGACACTGGGGACACTGGGTGTGTCTGGAAGTTCTGTTGTGATTTGTTTAGGAATGGAAAGTGCATGTGCTACTTCATAGCTTCCTGAAAACATTTTTGTGACCTGTGACTTAGAAAAAGGTGATTTTATTATGATATAGTAGGCTCTATATAACTGAAAGTGCACTTAGATTTCATGCAACTGCCCTTAACAAGATTCTCAGTAGTAAGTTTGGCCAGGATAAAAGCTATAGCTGTTCTCCCTTTTCTGAATTAGTGACAAGAATGGGCAGGAGCCCTCTGTGTCCACGGAGCATCAGTTACCAGGCTGATGTTGGTGGGTTTCTTGTTAAGGTTTAAATTTCCTCTTACTTTGGCTAATAGTCATTGGTACATTCAAAACTGGTTGTTTCAGACTATTTGTCAAAACTTTTGTTTGCTAGAAATTAATGTTTGTCTCCTGCCACTTTCATTCCTCAACTAGAAAAAGGGGGTTTGGACAACACTGCTTTGCCTCTGTGTTCTTTTCAGTGGGGAGTATTGTTCCTGAACTTGTTCCTTTTTTACATGCTAAGAGACTTTGAGTAATGGAGTTAGGATAAGATGTGTAAACTTCTGCCCAGGTATGTCTAAATTTTAGCAAAATGGGAAGTGTCTTGAAATCTAGATCAAGAACTTCTTGAATTGACTAAGACCTGCTGTAAGGTACAAAAAGAAAAAAAAAGGCTTCAGGAAATTTAAATTCAGATCAGTTGGGTTAGAAATCTTTGTGACGTTTATTTTTATTTTTTATATTTCTACCATCAGGAATCTTACCTTCAAACATCCAATTTAGGATTATTTATTGTTTAGGGTTGTAAAAGGAATATCATGTTAACTTTTTGGAAGTTGTAAATGGTAAATCTAAGTCTTTGTTCTGCGTGTACTGCATGTTTTATGTGTTAGGTCTGTGTGGACTTGTATTTGTATCTTATGTAAATGCTACCCAGACTAATTCAAAAATAATTAAGAAAGCATAAATTGCAAATGCCTTTCAGCCCACATGACTTAAGCATGTTTAAAAGATAACATGAAGGTGTGTTCAAAAGAGAATTTTTGGTTTCATGAACTTTATGAGAAAGACTGAACAACATAAAGGAAATGTAATTAAAATTTGGGAATTTGTTATGATCTTAAGGTCTTTTAGGGATCAGAATTGTTTGAACATTGAGATAATGTAATTAGCACTGCAAAATAGAATTTTAAATGTTAGATTTTTAAAATTTTCCTTTTAAAACAAGTGGCTTTTCTGTAATTCCTAAGGCATAGGGCTTAAATGGCTAACCCACACCTCACCTCAACCCAGGTGATTGGACAGAATATGCAGATGCTGACAACCAGGAGGTTCTGAGTCCAGTTTCGTTTCTAGGGGAAAGGGAACAAGGAGCTGAAGACAGCTGAAAGTGAAAAATCTGCTGTGGAGATCTGCATTCTCTCTCTGTGTTCCACTCACTACAAAAGATCTGTACATTGGGGTGGTTGGTGAGGCAAAGAGACACTTTCATCTCCTCTGAGCCAGCTTCGAATAAATCCTCTTTCTTTTTACCAAATAAGAAATCTCCTTTGATTTGGCTAAGGTCAATAAACCAACATGAGTCTATGAAATCAGGTAACTGGTAACAGTAATGTGGTATACAGCATTGACTGGGTATTTGAGTTTAAATTCTTTATGAAATGTAGCAATAGTCACTGTGAAGACTGATTCTAGTACAGTATTAATAGAAGGGGACTTAAGGGGCAGTATTTTGCTAGAGTTATGGTTTTTAGCAAGAAGGGCTTTAAAATAAATCCCTAACTATCTTGAAAGAGGAAGGTGAGACAAAACACATTTGACAAGGAGGAAAATTTGTGAGCACCGAAGAGTCAGTCCTGCCAAAATAAGAAGAGCTACAGGGTTTGTGAAAAGGGGTTCTGATGCATGACTGCTTAAAAGCCAAGAGCCCTTCTAGCAGGTGTAATGATTAGGTATCTCTCAACCTTGGCTTTCTTTTGTATTTGACTTCACAATTCTTAGGAATACTTCTTCAGGCTCATTTTGGCTAGCCATCCTTGATTCATTTTAAATTGGCTGTGTTGCAAACTTCTGTTGGCTGGAAATTAATTTTTGTTTCCTGCCACCTTCATTTCTAAACTAGAAAAATAGGGGATTGACTACAGTGGCTTGCTTCTCTCTCTCTCTCTCTCTCTCTCTCTCTCTCTCTCTCTCTCTCTTTCTCTCTGCGTTTGTTTTCTTTCTTTTTTTTTTTCTTTAAACAATAGAAGCTTTGAGCAATGGAGCCTGATGTGTAAATTTCTGCCCAGATGTCTCAATTTTAGCATGGGTAATGATTTAAAACCTAGACCAAGAACTTTTTGAATTAACTAAAACCCATGATGTCTCACACACCACACATACAGAGAGAGAGAGAGAGAGAGAGAGAGAGAGAGAGAGAGAGAGAGAGAGAGAGAGATTCAGGAAATTTAAACAATTTAAACATAGGTTATTTGGGCAAACAATCTTTGACTTGTGTATTTCTCACATTATTAGAATTAGGAATCTTACCTTCAAATATCTAATTTAGGTTTAAACATTGTTTAGGGTTATAAAGGTATATCATGCCAATAATGTAACTTTTTAAGAGCTGGTAAATCTAAATCTGTGTTTTATACGTGCTGGTGTGCATGTAGATAGTATATGTTAAGTTTGTGTGTGTGTGTATTTGTGTATTGTTTAGATGATATCAGATTAATGTAAAAATAAGAGTACTCAATAATTAAGAAAACCTAAACCGAAATGCTTTTTTAGATCACATAATTTAAACAAACAGTTAAAAGATAACATAAAGATTATGCTTATGTTAACATACATATTGCCATGTAAGTCAGAATTATATTTTAAGTGTTTGTCATTCTAAAGAGAATTTTTAGTTTCACAAAAGTTGTAAGAAAGATTGAAGAGCATAAATGAAATGTAATTAAGTGTTTTTAGTTTGTAGTATCTTACGATCTCTTCGGAATCGGAATCAGTTGAATACTGAGATAATGTGTCACACATCTTAATATAGCACTAATTGAGTGTACTTTTTTAAATTTTATTTAAGGAGAAAAAAAGCAGAGAAAGGGTACAAGTTATACAGATTTACAGAAAAAAAATAAACAGTAGGAAATCACTAGTTAATGAATTACATATTGTCATCTTAGAAATAACTGTTCAAGTCACAAAATTAAAGCTTGTAAAGTGGACATTCCAACAGTGAGACTGCAAACAGTTCTGTTCAATGATCCAATAAAACTCAGTGATATCATTTTCTATCTTATACACTTAAACATACATGCAGTTATATCATTTAGGGCACTTTCTTTTCCTCTCTTTTGTACAATGACAATTACACATTTTGGGTTTTGATACTCCCACAGTTCTTATTACTTTTTTGGAAGGGATTAGAACCAAATGTCACATAACAGAACAGAGTCAATCAAATGAAAAGGTTGGACATAATAGATAATGTAAAGGCATAATACAAGGTGATCAATAATGGTTACCATAATGCCTCCTGCTATCTCTAATAGAATTGCCTATATCATCAGTTATAATAAAATTGAACAAAACAGTAAAGAACAAAACCGACAAAACCAAAACATTGGAGACATTATAGGTCTTCAAAAGTAGATAAAAGTCATTGAGAATGGGCGTCATAATGAATCTCACTATCTTCACAGCTGTTGCCTAAACTTTCGAACCTGGTACTATCAAGCAAAGCAGAATAGAGGGACATCAGTCAAAAACAAGATGGTGAGAGTAATACAGGGCTTTAAATCAAGATAATGGAAAGTCAAAGTGGGTTGCTATAAAATATCCTGCTATTTTTATTTATTTTTCCCTTAATTAAAAGGATAAAAATAAAAAAGTAAATAATGGAGTGGAGATTGAGATAAAAGAGGGCATAACAGCAAAGCAGCGCAGATCAAAACATAACCATTTAAGCAGAATAGTGTTTCACCACAAGATAATCCTGACATAAAGGTAGTCACCATATTGTATTGAGTGTACTTTTATTTAATGGTTTAAATGATTCAGCCTCTAAAGATATTATACAGCAATAGTAATGTGAAGGCTACTTCTGATAGGAGTGGAGGCAGTATTTTACTAGGCATCTGTTACAGTGCTATGATTTATAGCAGGAAAGGCTATTAAGTCCCTGACTGTTGGTGGTGGTAGCAAAATGCATTGGTGGGAGGGCTTGTAACATCAAAGAGTCACGTCTGTGTCAAAAATACAACAGTAGAGTTGCTTAGGTTGGGAAAGGTTCCACTGCATGATTGTCTTCTAGGAAGTATAATGATTAGGTATCTTTTGGCTTTGGCTTTTCTTTGTACTTGATGTCACAGTTTTTAGTGATATATTTTCAGGTTCAAGCATCTGGTTTCCTTTTGCTTGTGCCCCAGCTACCCTTGATGGAATGTATGGATCAATTCAATGTGAGATAGTCAGATGATGTGCATCACCAGGCCCTCAAAATTGAGGGCTGGACTAAAGCAAGCAAAGAGGTGTAGCTCATAGTGCAAAATGGGTCTTTTAAAAAGTTTAGCCTTTTTTTCTTTTGGAGATAAGCAACCTTTCCAAATGTTCTCCTGATGAGTACATGACCAACACTGTCTTCTCCCCTCAGCCTCAAAGCAGAGACAGAGTACGCAGATACTGGCCTCACATGGCTGGAACCATTTCCCTTATACAAAATAGGGAAGAATGAACTGATAGTGGCTCAAAGAAATAAAGCAAGTGTCCAGGTCTTCATTATTTCTCTTGTCTTCCCCCTCCCCTATTTTCCTTACTGTGAAAGAACCTCACCCACCCATACATGGTGAGACAGTATTTGACGCAAGCAGGTCTGTCTATCTCCTCAGAGCCAGCTGTAAATAAATCCTTTTTCTTGATTTTATAAATCAAAATAAATGGTTTCCTTTGACTTGGTCAACAATGAGCAAATTAACATGGACATAAGAACTTGAGTGCCTGTATCAAAATTGGAAGAGATGAAGTTTGGTAATTAGAACATCCAGTGAAGGATCAAGTGTGTGATAGAGAATTTACCATTTACATGTATTTTTCTGCTCACATAATAACACATTAGGTGTAGGGCTGAGGGTGGAAGGAATGATTGGAACAGAGAGAAATTTTAAAGTCACAAAAGTACTCTATACAAAACTAAACTACACCATGATGGTGAATATATGTCATTATTATAAATGTATATATATTTTCCTAAATCTATAAAATGTATTGCACTGAAAGAGCTCTAATATAAACTAGGGATTCTGCATCATAACTGCACATCACTAATTGTAACAAGTGTTCTATTGTAGTGGGGGATGTTAATAATGGTTGAGTGTATGTGAGAGCAAGATGTGTATGAGACCTCTATCTCCCATTCAGTTCTTTAATGAATTTAAAATTGCTCTAAAATACACAGTCTATCATAAAGAAAACAAAAAGGAAAATAATATAGAGATATTGGGAGAGCTCCCTTTGTTCTAATGTTAGGGAAAGCATGAAATTACTTCCACTTGAAAATTTAGAATTTTTAAGCCTAAACTTCAGATGGCTAGTGATTCCACCGCTGGTAATGTGGTAAGTTATAATTAATGCAAAAGAGATAAAAAACAATCATTTTTTTATGGATATTTTGAATTTATCCTTTTTTCTAGATGAAAAGAGAAAACTGCAGTAACTGGTCACTGTGGAAAGTTTTCCTGGCTTGTCTTTTGGCATGTGTGATAACAACAGCAATTGGAGTCCTCATAGTATGCTTGGTAAACAATGAGGGAAATAACTCCCCCATTGTTATCCAGCTGCTCACAAACAGTGAAGTGCCTACAGCAGCCTGTACAACCCCTGCCACTTCTGCTGAAACCACAACAGCAGCTGCTTCATCAAGACCTACAACCCCTGCAGCCTCCACCAGTGCTATAAGAGCAACTACTTCATCTCAAGCTGTAACCGCGGTACATGCAACTTCGGCCACAGGATCTACAGCTGTGACAACACCCACGGAAACTACAGCCACAGCAGCCTCAACCATCATTCCCTCTCAACCTGCAAACACAAGGGCTAGCACGTCACGTGAAGGGACAATTGCCACATCTGCCACAGGATCTACACCGACGACAGCATCCAGTAGAGCTCTACCTGTAACAGCTTAACCCCTTCCCCAAAAGCCACACCTCTGAGTGAAGCCACAGCTGCCACCTAACACACTCTACAACTGTGATAATTTCAATAAATTTAGCTACTGCTCAGCCAATCACTATTTCCCATTTTTCAATGGTGCTCATGACTATGTTCACGTCAACTAAATCTATAACAAATACTACTTCCACCTGCCTTGCTTAACAGTGCTCACCACTCTCCTTCAATATTTACAATCTTCACTTTTTCATTTGCACCTGCAATCACAAAGCCTGCCCTTATTTCCCCTTTACAGAAGTAACGTCAATCACTACAATGATCTCTTCTATATCAAATTAACCAATAATTATCACAACTACAAATAAACTAACAACTATAATCTACATTGACTTTTTCCAAAGCTAAAATTATAGCTTCCACTGGTACAATAACTGAATCAATATTGTCATTACTTATATTTTCTTTTCATCATCATTAGTATACTGTACCTGCAGCAATTATCATGATGCCACTTGAAGAACAGTAATTTCACTATGAATAATGGAATAATTCCCACAATTTTCATGAAATCAACACTTCAGATTTCTGGAACTATTAAAGCTGGGTTATTTTTATAATTAAGCTATAAGAACTTGATTTGGTTCAATAGTTTGAAATAATACAGTTTCATATAGAAAAAGTGATTGATTTGTTCATTTAGGAAATAAGTAAGACATTTATATAAATCTTTACGTAAAACTATATTTAAACTTTAATATGTACTTGTTTCAGTTCAAAACATTTTTATTACTGTATGTAAATTATATGCATGATGAGCAGAAATTTTACATCCAAAAGATTTAAATTTATGTAGAAAATATATGTAAGAATTTATAAAAATTATTTCTTCTATGGTAAAGTTTGTTATATTTAAAAAATTTTTTTATATTGTAATTGCCTTTTAGCCAATAGTATCCTATTTATGCTAATATTACAGAAAGCATATTTGGGCATTTTGAAATTATATTTTAAAACTAAATAATTATCTGCAGTCTTGAAAGTCATTTGGCTAAATGATATTTCTTAAGTCCCTATGTGCTAAAGCACCGAAAATGTGCAGAAAAAGAAAATAGCAATTCGCAATAAGTAGTAAATTATTAATTTATGCTGTTAATTTTGATTCTTGATATTTCTGGGAAATTAAATTATGATTGATGAGGCCCCATCCAAAGTAAATTAGGATCTTAGGTTGGAACTAGTAATCTATAATTAAAAAAAATCTTCATAGAAGTTTGTTGGGTTTAGGAAGTTTTGAGAATAGATTCAAAGGTCATAGTATAGGGCTGGGGATTTAGCTCAGTGGCAAAAGCGCCTGCCTTGCAAGTGCGTGGTTGTGAGTTCAATCCCTGGTACTGGTAAAAAAAAAAAAAAAAGGTAATAGTGTAATAATATCATTTAAAATCAAGGCAATTAATAGTTACAATATTAAAAATTAGAATTATGTTCTAAGCATATAAGAAATCATAGATACTGCTAAGTATGAAAACTTATTTAACTTAGTCAATACCAGATCAAGAGGGGACTATTTTACTTACAAGATGGTAAAGAAACACTTTTAAGAAAAACTTTAAATTTTATATTTCTGTGAGCATTTCATATCATTTAATTTCTAAAAGAAGAATCTGTTAATTTTATTTGCTGAGTTAGTTAGGTGTTCTTAAAAGTAATGATATTTAAGTAACTATATTAATTTAGAATTTAAATGATGCATATTGGTTTTCCCTATTTTGATTAATAACATCTTAGGAAATATTTAAAACATTATTGCTTAAACAGTTCAGCTTCTGATTTGGTGTTATCTAATTCTTTTCCAGCTCTGCTGGTCACCAGAATAATAAATGATCTAAGGTTTATATATAGTTATGAATAAATACATGTGCAATTTATTTTATAATGAATGACAAAATTTCCTTAGTCTGTGGCAGAGGTGGTACCTAAGAAACACAGATGTAAAAAAAAAAAAAGAAATACAGATGAAATGTATGAATAAGTAACAAATAAATTCTATTATATATGATTCATGAGAATAGACCCTTTGGTTTACTTACTCTATTTACCTGACACATCCTAGAACCCCAAAATATTCATAAAATAAAAAATAAGTTTTAAAGACATGAGTCTAGAGTCTGCAAGACTAGATAACTGGTATTTTAAACATTGGTTTTAATAAAACACTTTTATTTAAAGAGATAAAAAACAGGAAAAAAAGGGGTAAAAATAATACAGAATTCAGAAAGATAAACAAAGTAAATCACTAGTTGATAAGTTACATATTGTCATCTTAGAAATAGTTGTTTAAGTTACAAAATTAAAGCATACAAAGTGAAATTCAAATAATGATACTGCAAACAGTTCTGCTCAATGATCCAACAAAAACTTAGTAATATGCTTATCAGTCCTACACATTTGTTTTTTATCTTAAAGGGTAAGATTAAACATGACAATACAGAACAGAACAGTTCATAAGGAAACAATTTAAAGAAACACAGATTTCAAAGCAAGTCTACTGAAGATCTTCACTGTCTATCTTATTGTCTCTAGTTTTCTTTCAAATAGTTGTCCCCATCTTCACACACATTGAATATATACTGAGCATTATAGCACTAATCAAGTCATTACAGGATGATAATGGCCTTTTAGGTCTTCAAGACCTGATTTTGGGGAAGTCAATAATGGCTACCCTGGTCTCTCTCATTCTCTTCATAGTAGCTGTCTTTATCTTTACGTATGCTGAAACTGAACATAATAGACTAGACTAATATCACTTTGAACAGTGAATAATAATATTGCTAGATTTTATGTCATAATGTTACAGAATTAGCATTGGTTTCTTAATGTCTCTTCCTGTTCAGAGTATCCATTCATTACATCTTGTATTATATAATATGTTCCTGTAAATAGTTTAGAAATTCTTCCCATGTGTGAATCTCTGCATGTATATCTATCCCTTCTGTATTTTAGGGAAAAACAGATCAAAATAAGACAACAAAACAAATCCCTAGATGAACATGAACTGAAAAAGACATATAAGCCCACAATATTAGGTAATCTCCAGTAGATACTATGCTTTCTCTTGTTATTTTCAATAGAATTGTGACCGGAGCCGCGGGAGACAGGAGACCAAACTCGAGCAGGATCAGCTCTCAAAGTTTATTGCGTACAGCGAACCGGACCTAACAAGGTCCGCCACCCTCAGTGTTGGTTCCTCTTCTGCCCGTTGGGGGCAGGAACAGCCTCTTATAAGGGGAAGCAGTATCCAATCACAGAGAAGTGCGTCTAACAAGCTGATAGGCTAGCGTCACGGGTAACTGGGCAGACATGACGATTTGGCAGGCTTGTTCAGGCCGGGAAGAACCCGGAAGCAGGAAATGGGCGCCATCATAGGCGGCTTCCCACATCTCCCCCTTTTTTATTTATTAAAATAGGATGGTCTGTGGGTCCCTCCAAGGTGTCTATGACCTTGTTGCTGTTAGACACCTAGGAGTGGGCCTACCTTGTAGGCCGAGGCATGAGAGAATGTAGAGGTCTATACCCTGCTGTGCATCACCCTGTTTTGTGCATATCCTTGCGCCAGGACCATGCTCAAGGTGAGTGGTTCATTTTTTCGCAGGGCCAGGCTTTTGTGAACCGAACCTGGATGCATATAGACATTCATTCCTGCCTTCCCCCCAACCTTTGGGGCGGATGGCACTGCAGTACCCTTGGTCTCGCATCTCAATGCCAATAATTTGACTCCGGGAGGGACCCCTGGCCTTATAGGCCATGTATATCTGAGTGGAGCCTGTCTTAGGTTGACCGGGAGGGCTTTTCCCGTCTTACCCGTCATTGGCTTGCCCACTCAGCTCTTATAGCTGATGTTCTGCAATGTGAAGGAGATATGCGGCGGCCTGCTGGCCTGATGGGCCACCTGCTGCCATTTGCATGGCTGCCATAGCTGTGATCTTAACCTGCTCCTGAGTTTGTATGAGGCGATCTAACAAGCATTTAATAACCACAAGCCCCACTAGGAAGGCCACGGCAATCAGGATCCAGAGGCGGGCGAGGCCGCCGAAAAAGGTGCCAATGTGGGCGGGTGGTGCCAAGGACCCCAAAGATATTGTGGTGGTTCTGTGGAATCTGAGCATATCACAGGGGTGATTAATAGGAACCCACAGAATAGAAAAAACTCCAAACCAGACATTTTAGTTTGTAGATGGTCTCGGGCGCTGAGCGTCGGTCCCAGAAGGGTCGAGTTGACTTGTGTCCGCGGGCTTATCCTCCTGTGCTTTATCAGGAACTGGTGGGGAGTTTACTGCTCGCGTCAATCTTTCCGGGACCCACAGCGGTTCACGACCTGGTTCCTGTGGGAAAACACAAACCGCACCTTGGGTCCAACTAACCACTGGATCCGGGCCCATCCATTGTCCTGTAAGGACATCTTTCCATCTAACCAGCCCTTTGTCGGTTGGGGACGGATTGCTATGTTCCATGGCAGGGGAATGATTATTGTGGTTTAAATTGAGAAAATTTATGGTAAAGAGTGCCAATGATATTCTTCCTTTGGGCATTAGGCCGTGGCCTATCCCCTCTTTTTGCTTTTGTAAGACACCCTTGAGTGTCCGATGTGCCCGTTCAATGATGCCTTGTCCTTGAGGGTTATATGGAATGCCATGCTTAAGGACAACATCCATTTGTTGACAGAATGTTACAAAAGTTTTGCTGGTGTAAGCAGGACCATTGTCTGTTTTTAATATATTGGGCTTTCCCCAAGCAGCCCAGGCTGCAAGACAATGATTAATAGCATGGGTGGCCCTTTCTCCAGGTTCTGCCGAAGCAAACATAACCTGAGAAGCGGTGTCAACCGAAACATGTACATATTTGAGTTTTCCGAATTCTGGGATGTGTGTAACATCCATTTGCCAAATATGATTGGGGCGCAGTCCTCTTGGGTTAACACCAATAGATTGTTAGGGTGAAGAGATCACACAAGCTGGGCAATACCGTACAATCTCTCGTGCTTGTGCTCTCGTGATGTTGAAGTGCGCCATGAGGGTGCGGGCATTAACATGGAACTGAGAATGGAATTTTTGGGCTGCTTCCAGAGGGTTGGGAAAGGTGAAGACCCATATCGGGCGCATAGCCGAGTCTGCCAAGGCATTGCCCTCCGCCAAGGGCCCAGGTAAATTAGTATGGGCTCTGATATGTGAGATGAACACTTTTGAGGTTCTATTCCATAGCTGATGTTGAATACCTAGGAATATGGAGGCTACCGTTGAAGAGGGTTTAATGGGACCTGCCGTCTCCAAAACTTGGAGAGCATTTACCACATATTTGGAGTCTGACAGGAGGTTAACGTCGCCTGGAAAGCGACGTAAGACCTCCTGTATTATCTGGAGCTCGACCACCTGGGGTTGGTCTGGAGTAAATTGGATAGTTTTTGGCTCTTGACCCATAACCACATATGCGCCTATGCCTGATTTGGAGCCATCCGTGAAGATTATTGGAGCTCCAGTTATGGGGTATGCGGATGTAACCTTGGGAAAAATCACAGGGTGTACTGTAATAAACTGAAGTAGTGGGT